ACCAGATATACCAAAACCCCCAAAGACTAGACTCGGTATCGACACTTGAAGGCAACATCTCAGAGCGAATATAGAAGAGCGCATGACAGTTACATTAATAAGATTTTCTGCAGTAGCATCAATAGCAGCTCTAAAACATTACGGTCCTTCCTCAAGGGAAAAAGATAAGATACACAAGGTGTTGCAACTTTCAAAATGTTACATGTATATTTATTGTAATTAAGTGAGAACTAGATATCATTGAGATGGTGGCCATCTCTAAGGATGTCGCTTTCAGCAACGAACATGAAAAATGTAAGGTAGCTGAAAAGGGTTTATTTTGAAGAGGAACATTTGTGTACTATTAAGGGATGTGTTGTTTGAGTCTTAAGGGCTTCTATGTCATCCTTGTTACATAAAATTTGGCACGAAAATTACGAGTGCTCCATACCCTCAATAAAAAAAACGGCACAAAAATCACGTATGTTGCATATCCTCTATGAAAATTGTTGCAAATCAAAATATGGAAGGAAAATCACAAATGTTCCGTACCCTAAGTCAGTTGGTAATGTTTTGAGTCTGACTGGACTTAAAGGAAAGAAATTATGCACAGAAGAAAGATTTTAAACAGAGAGGTAATTTTTGACCTCGACCCTTGACCTAGAAACATTGTTCAAGGTCACTGCATACCTTTACCCAAAGGCACTCTGTGGGTGAAGTATGAGCCAGATTGTGCCAAGGAGAGAGAAAGTATGCTCTGGACAAGAATTTAAACAGAGAGGCTACTTTTGACCCTTGACCTAGAAACTTCGTTCAAGGTCACTGCACAGTCATTGACCAGTGGCACTCTATGAGTGAAGTGTGAGCCACATTGGACCAAGAGGAGAGAACATATGCTCCAGACAAGGATTTTTTCATATAATTCTGCTATGACCTTAACCTTAGACCTAGAAAAATGGTTCAAGGTCACTGCACACCCTTTACCCAAAGACACTCTGTGGGTGAAGTATGAACCAGAATGGGCCAAGGAGAGAGAAGATATGCCCCGGACAAGAGATCTTGGACGGACAGACGGAAGGAAGGACGGACGGACGGACGGACTGATCACTATAGGGCGCCCGCAGAGCGGGGTCCTAATTAAAGAACCAAAAGCAAAAATCCTCACCCAATTTCACTCTGTGTATATCAATGAGAACACCAGCAACATGCCAGACAAGGGAGCCAGTCCCTAGTCAGACATACATGTGACATACATTGTGACACACGAGGGAGTCTACATCATCATTAATAAATATCAAAGTCAACATAAATATTGGCCCCGAGGACTTACCAGCCAAGACTGAAAGTATTGCCTTACCATGCTGATCAATTTACATCAATATTGATACCAATTTTCCACTCATCATTCGACACAGGAATCCAGATTGTTCCAATATTTAAGAAAGATGACAAATGCCTTGCCTCATGTGTTCCCAAACGCCCTGTGTCGTTGACGTCCATCCATTACAAAATACAGGAACATGTAACTGTACATAGCCAAGTCATGGACCATCTAAATAAGAATTTCATCATTTAAGACAGTTAACATAAAGAACAAGGTACGGTTTCAATACAAATCTTGCCCTGTGTTTTTCTTAAAAATAAAAGTGATGTAAAAAATTAAAACTCATGCTTTTTGAATTATTGAAATTCCATGCAGAAAGATCATACAAATCTTTTTTTCTCACATGACCTTCCAAATGCTAATTGTGACGTCATAAACTTGTGCATTTTCCCGTATTTTCTTAAAAAGTTGCAGAAGACATCAATTTTCAATGGAATTTTCTTTCAGATAATATTGTCCACAGGCATCGTCCACAAAGATTTTGAGATATGTGATTTTTCAAACAATTTTACACAACATATCTAAAAATTAACGTGGGCGACGGCTGTGGACACTATTTTCTTAAGGAAAATAACCCTTGAAATGGGACATTTTGAGGCTTTTTCTGTTTAAAATAGAGAAATGCATCAAATTAATGACGTCATATATCCAGAATGGTACTCCATCATGCTATATTCTTTCCTGATTTATTACAGTCATATACTCAACTAATATTTAAGCCAGTTTCAAAACTTTTTGAAAACATTAAATTTTTAGGGCACATTAAAGCTAAAACAATACCTTCTTCTTTTGTACGAAGTGATCCCGTGGAACTAAGCTGGAGTCCACCATATATCAACGGCCACCATGCATCAACGGATAAGCTCAGAATCTAGGAGAGTCATGTTGATATTCGCAAAAACCTTGGTTAAGTCCCTCTCCAGTGACTTGCTCGTAAGCTGAACTATTACGGGTTCCGAGGTACATGTACCACTGTCTGATGGATTACTAATCTCCTAATAAACAAGACTCATCGAGTGCTTTGAGAAGGTCACAAATCATCCACTGCTCAGTTGTTGTCGAGGGTGTAATGAGAGATAGATAAACACATCTGAACGGAACAAACTTTATCTAAATCTGACTCAGTATTTACATGGTAAAAATACACAACACAAAAAACACAATGATGTCATCACTTTTATGACCTCATCACGATTATATCGTCATAGCCAGGAATGCACATTGCACATAAACATGTCACACTTGTCAAATAAATTTATTGTTATAGTATTTTTAACATCCTCCCCAGGGCACGATGTTTTTTTTTTTTTTTTTGAAGATAACAGAATATCGTAAATTTGGACAACATATCCAACCTTTAAGGTCTTAACTGTGTTCCTGAGGCAACGATGGTATTCACGTAGACTTGTTAAATATTCCTGTTTCCATCGTTGATGTAAATCAGTAAGACGATTTGGTTTTCCGACAAAGGTTTTAATCAACTGGATTTTGTTCACATACTCATCTTCCTTCGGGCAACAAAAATATTTTGGAAGTGCCCCTCGTCCATAAAGTTTATGAAAGGGTGACAATTGTTGTGGGACCTTGATATCTGATAAGACATAAGTAAATGGACGGTCTTTTATCATTGTTTCTGTTTCACACAGTATGGTATGAAGGAATGGCTCACTCACTAATGCCTTTCCAAGTATTTTCCGCAGAGTTGTTTTTGTTATCCTGATCAGACGCTCCAAAAAGCCCCCATGCCATTGTGCACCTTTAGTTATAAACTTCTAGGTAATTTTAAGCCTGCTTCCTCCATGATGATTCGCCGGGCAGGTAAAAATGTTGATCTATTGACTGAGCAAATGGTGTGCGGCATTCCTTTGTTGGTAATGGACCTTCTGAGTGCTAATACACATGTTTCAGTTGATAGATCCTCAACAAGTTTTAGATGAAAAGCTCTGGTTGTTGCACATGTAAACAGACATACGTACATCTTTTTTTGCTTTGTCTTTTCACTTTGACATTAAGGGATCCTGCGTAATCTACTCCGGCAATTGAAAAGTGAAAGTCTGATACACGGTCCTTGAGAAGTAGTGGTGGATCCGGTAATTTAAATGGTTGTCCAACTACCTTCTGACATGGGGTGCATTTTCTTAGCACGTGATTAATGCTCCGTCTTGTGGCCGTAATCCAGAATGACTCGAATTTCTGTGATGATTTGGGAACATCCTTACGTCGCGGGTTCAAATCCCACTGTGGGACGTGGAGACCGGTCCTTCGGATGAGACTGTATAAACCGAGATCTCGTGTCGCAGTAGGTGCTAGCACGAAAAAGATCCCTCACTGCTCAATAACCCTGAGTGCCGAGTATAGGTCAAAATTTGTAGCTCTCCATCGGCAAGTAGTGGCGTCTCCATATGAGTGAAACATTCTCAAAAGGGGCGTTAAACAATAAACAAACAAACAAAACATCCTGAATACAAACTTCTTCCGTGGATATCCATTATTATCAGGTCAGTAAGTCTGTGTTTCTTTGGTAACCGTACTTGATATTTTGCTGAATCCTCTAAAGAAGAAGCTGAAGTCCTTGAAAAAGATTTGATTGGCAGTTTGTAATTTGATGACTTTGTCCCTAATTACAGATCCACAAATATGAAGTCCATTGAGCGGAAGTGATAGTCGTGTCTAAACAAAATCCAAAATTGGACTGATGAGAATGATTTTCAACTTTCAAAAAACAAAACTGCATGTGTACCTTTCTGTTCCAAACGAAAAGTTCACGACGATCCCCATTTGTAATAGTCGTTTATCATATTTTCATAGATGTAAGGAATTTTTCAAGCGCGTAAGCAACAGAGACACGTGATACCCGACATACAACGGCGGTTTATTACAAAAACATAATGGTAAAACGCTGTTCTTGGGGTACGTGCAACAGTGACAACAGGTACGTGCACCGAGAATACATGAAAGGGGTAGAATTCTTTCAGATACCAAAGCCAAAAACTAGGCTAGAAGACACTAAAATATGAGTTATAATATGGGCATATGGAAGAAAATTCTTCACGGTCGACAACGTCAACAAACATGCATAATTATGTATGCCGTAAACATTTCATTGATGGTCGCCCTACTGAGATTCACCCCTATCCAGTGAGCGCAGACTTGCGTCGGGTGATTCTAAAAGCAAGGAAGCCTGTGGCAAGGAAACAGCTAATACCTGAAAAAAAAAAAAGAGAACGTTGGTCCCAGTAAGGCATCTTACGCTGAGTGTATAGCAGAGCCTATGATGTTTGTCAAAGTGGAAGAGGAGGATACCAGTGGCAGTGAAGAAGTGTCAACCCAACACACACAGGGTATGAATAAACAATTTTCATAATAAAAATGGCTGCAGAGTGATTTCTTAAAATAATTACATCGAAATACCTCAATGTAAACTTGAAAGCATGACTATTAAATCTATATGTACATGATACTGAAAGCTTTTGTAAAACTGAGTCGTGCAAATAAATGAATTTAAATATAATCAGCTACATTTGACATGTCTAAGTATTTGAAAAAAAAAAATTAAGCTCATGGTGTTTATTTAATCTTAGTGAATGACCACTTATATGCTAGATCTGTGCACATGGTTGGTGTGTCAGTTTCATGCCAAACCAACCTTGACATGAAGGGGATGTCTGGCATTGAGGATAACAGCTTCCTTGATAGGGGCAAACGAAGAGAAGACTATTGACAGAAGACATATTTAAAGATGACAAGTCCTGTAAATTTTATACAGGTTGATGAACAGTTTCCTTATATATTAATACAAAGTTACTTCTGTATTTTAGTGTAAATTTTTCCACAATTACTTTGAAAAAACTTTCTGTACCTGGTGATTATGTGCATATATACTGTATTCAAATTATCTAATACAATCATCCAGTTCTGTCCTAAGTGTATTCACACTCAATATATGCTTTAATTAATAATACAACTATGCTTTATCTACAGGACTATCACTGGCTTTGTTTGCAGTTACATGCATCTTCAATGTGTTGAAGTTAAAGGCATCCTAAATGGTATACTGGAACATCACCTAGACAAATGAACGTCAGGATTCCAAGGTAATCAAATGTCTCGCAGCTTATTTGTGATCTAGGTCAATTTTGATTTAACTTTCCTTTGAAAGAAAAAAGTTCTTAAACATTATTAGTTTAGTACTTATAAATTTTAAAGCTTACCAGTTTGTATTCAGTAGTTTGTACATTGTAATTTTATTGATTTCTAAATAACAGAATTTCCCATAATTACAAACTCCTAGAAGAGGGCCAATACGCTTGTTGTCACTGAAGGAAGAGTTCACTCTTACCTTGTTACGAGTACGTAGAGGATTTGACACCAAGTCCCTGAGTGATATGTTTGCCATTTCTTAAAGTTCTGTGTGTCGAATATTCACTACCTGGTTGTGTCTGATGAACATCGACCTTAGCTTTTTAATTAAGTGGCCTTCCAAAGAACAAATCATGGAGAATATACCTAAATGCTTTAAACATTAAAAAAAAACAAGATGTATAATAGACTGCACAGAATGTTTTTGTACAAAAACCTAGTCTTCGATCTGCTCAGAGAATTACACACTCAAATTACAAACGTCATAATGCCTTTAACGAGGCCGAGTCTAATTATTTCTACCCTAGATATTTTCATAAATTTTCTTGAATGAATTTTTACTATTATATTATTTATTTTAAGATAAAAATATCAAATGTTTACCATCCCGATTTCTAAGAGAGCCATCTTGAAAGTTGTCAAATTTACTATTGGACCCCCAATTTTTTTTTTTTTTTTTTTTTTTTTTTTTGTATTTCTGCCCTAGGGATTTCGTTTTCAGTCGAATACATGAAAGTTATTGTTAAAAGTCACCAACTTGTGAAATTTCAAAAAAGTTGACCATCTGGTTTGGTGTAGGAATTAATACAAAGTTTATTTTTTCCCAATGCCCAATACAATGTACCTCAAAATTTGCCATATTGCGGCATGCATTTTGTATACTGTAGATTCCTAAATATACGCGAGGAATTAATTATTGCGTAATTACGCGAGAAGCACTACTCGCAAAATAAAATTACTCGCTTTCATTTTTATGGTGCTGAAATCAATGTAAAATCTTTTAAACAACCGTCCACTCGCGAATTATTGTTCTCGCGATTTGACGTTAAAGAGCAATTTCGCGAAATTAAGTACTCTCGAAAAATAAAGAATCTACAGTATATCGGCGCAGATGAATTATTTTGGTAAAAAATAACAATGTTTAGATTGCTGGTATGTTTCTTTTGATGTTCTGTCAACAGTGTTTGATAAAATGTTCATGGACGTCTTGAATACTGAAGAGAGTCAAGTGTCATTCTTCAGCGTCATGCATTGCTTACAGAACCCGGTAACATTGACGTCTTGAAAGCCATTTCAGCATTTATTCCTTAATATTGTCTTAAAAGCACATTTTAGGACCCATAAACGTTAAAGATAATGTTAATTTTGTATTACAAATACTTGGATAGGTGTTACGTGGCAGATACGACTGCATGGAACTACAACGCTGCGCAGTCATGCACATTAGAATTAGACTCGGCCTTGTTAAGTGTCTTGTAGCTATAACTCCCACAGCTGGTTCTTTCTGTTTTGTTTCTGATTTATATACTGGTAGCATATCTGACAAAAATAGTTCAAGATTCTGTTGTTTTTTTTTGTTTTTTTTTTTTGGATAAAATTGAATTTGGGGATGACATTATGGTTGATCGTGGGTTTCTCATTAGAGGTGAATTAGCATTGAAAGGTGCCACATTAAACATTCCCCCATTTTCTTTTGGAAAGCAGTTAGGCAGCAATGCAACCACTAAAACTAGGAGGATTGCCCGAGCTATAATCCATGAAGAGAGAGAGCGATTGGACATTTAAAAAACTATGCAATTTTGCAGGGTATTATTGCACTCCATATGAAGCCTGTTTATAATCAGATTGTAAGAGTGTGTGCAATGTTATGCAACCTTGACACTCAACTTGTAAAGTGAGAATATATGTAAATCTGCAACCCTTTTCACAAAAAGATTTTTAAATTTTAACTTGAAAATCTCATTCTGTGCACTTTTCACAAATGTAAATTACACTTTGATTTCACATTTGTTTTGTTTTTTCTTCAAGCCTCCGTCATAGTGATATGGGTAGAATTTTGTGTGATTAACAGCTGAAAACTCAGGTTTTTCCGACATTAAGTAGGTCACACTGATGCAAGAAATTGCCATTTTCAAATTAAAAAGGCGGTCTTAACTCCTTGTGAAATGGTAATTCATGTGTATTTTATAAAAAAAAAATAGGGTCTCTCCTGCATCTCTTAATCGGCGGACGAACTCTGTCAACTTGCAATAAACACTTACATTTCATCATCAAAATGATAAAAACACCAATTATGTACTCTTTCCTTCATTAAAATAATATACTCTCGCTTCGAATTTTCAAATTAAAAAGGCGGTCGCAACTTTCACTTTGGTATCAACAGTCTAGTCGGCTGATCACAGTCACCTCCTGTCCCAATCATAACCGTTTTTGTTCCTCAAGAATATCCAGGGCTTGTATATTGGGGATATCTGAAATTAGAAAATAAAAATAAATTGTCTATTAAAAGGTTTTAAATAGAACATAATTATGGAAATAATAAAAAAAAAATACGTTAAGCAAAACTTGAAAGTGAAAGAACAGGTTTTTCCTTAACTGATGCCTCACTTGACTTGCAATCAAATGCCACATTGGCAAAAATGTATCGATTTTTTTTATCCTTTAAAGTGTGCATCTCACAAAATACCTCATATTGTACAACTTGAATGAATGATTCATTTTTATTTAAAAAAAAGAAATTGCCTGACTTTTCATCAATTTCATTAAGTTTAAAAAATACAAAACACTAGAAATGAAAACTATATATACAATTAAAGAGAATATACCTCTCGAGGACTCCTTGCTATATCATTGATTTCCATTCCTGAGTAATTCTGCCTTTGATCCACACTGCGAGGGTCAAAATTGTGTGCATCAGACTGGTTATATTCCACTCACACATACCTATAGTTAAATTTGTACAGAGAAGTAATTATTCTGTGTTTTTGGGAAAATTAATTGTTGCAGATTTTTTTCTTCTAAATCAGTGCAATTGTTTAATAAGTGTAACTCTATCGCTCTCTAGTCAGATCAGAATTAGACTATGGTTGTATTGCTTGTAGATCAGCAAGGACCTCTTACTTAAAAGCGCTTGATGCAAACCACCATCAAGGTCTTCGACTGTGCTTAGGGGCTTTTTTGAACTTCTCTGTAGACAGTTTATATGTTGAAGTAAACAAGTCACCTCTTGACTTAAAACAAATTAAGCTAACTTTACAATATTTAATAAAGTTAAAAGCTACAATAGTCAATAAAATTAAAAGCAAATACTTATAACATTTTTTCTCCGAAAACATGCGTATGCCCTGCACTAGTGTCATTTTCTACTTTCAGTTAACAATTCTATTTTTATACCAGTAACTCACGTGACACACAGCTGATACATGCCATATAACTGACACTGATAACGGCACAAACCTTCCATTATGGACATCTATATTACCTTTCCTACATGTATAGTTACTTTGTTACAAAGATTTTTAAAAATAATACGCATATTAAGAAGGTACTAGGATCGCATTTTCCATTTCCTTCCTTTACAATAGCTGAAAGGTCCCAAAATTCCTAGTGAATCAAAAATCTTGGATGATTAGCTTAGAACTTCTCTTTTTGTTGCATATTCCTTATTGATGTCTAAATCAAGTCTTGGAAAGGAAATGCAGTTTGTTTTTGCATCCCATCTCAATCCCAGAATTTTTACAATGTTGTCACTATCAAGTACCCTTTCTTCTGCTGCTGTGTGGCACAATTTTATGTTGTTCGAATTCTTAAATTGAATCCAGCCTCTGCTAGAAGAACACAAGAGGTTTTGTAAAATTCTGAAAGTGAATTTTCATCCTCAATACTGGTTAAAACGTTGTCTACATACAACGATTTAGACAATTCTCATGGATTTCTTTCAAAATGTGTTTCCAATGTTTTGCTGAGAAGGAATGGTGAGCAAGTTGCTCCAAATAATACTACTTTGAATCGATAGGTAGAAATCCGAGCATCTGGATTTGTGTAATCTGTCAACCGGCCCGGCCCTTTTCATGAAATCTGATCTGTAAAAAGGCCTTTTCAATGTTGGTTGACACAAAATATTGTTTTACTCGAAATCGTGTAAAAATCGTTGAAATTTCATTGAGTTGTGGAGAGTGATATTCGAGGCAGTCATTGAGGCTTAGGCTTCCAGATTGTTTACAGCTGCAGTTATATAATATTCGAATCGGTGACGTACTTGAATCCTTTTTAATTGGATGGTGAGAAATGTAATGTGCTTGCTGTTTGGGTGTGTCCTCTTGCTCTACTTTCTCAATAAATCCACATCTTTCCTGTTCCTTAAGAATACTGTTTACGTCTTTAACATATCTGGATCTTGAGATAAACGGCGAGTCACATTCTTTGAGCGTTCCAGTGCAATTGTTTCATTTGAAAGTAAATTGCAGAATACTTCGCTGTATATTGACCATTTTTTAAAGGTTACATAATTCTGATCCTTAATTATAATTTGCAAATCAGTTGGTTTTCCTAGCCTTCCATTTTCCAGAACTTCTCTATTTACAATTCTTCTGGGTGATGATAAGACGGGATGTTGCAAGAAGTAACATGATTGTGTTTTTTGCACTTGAGTACGTTGGTCCCGAGAGTAGATAACATATTTTAAAGCTTACATCAGTTGGTCCAGGTCCCGGTATGATATTATTTCCAACAATGTCCCAATAGTGATCAACGCCGATAAATAAAGAAACATCAAATGTCGATCTATTAGGAGTGTGCTAACTGTAAATGTTTTAGATAAGGAAGGTTCTTGATCGGTACTTGATGCGTATGGATATTTCGCTGCAATACATAGAAAACAACTACATGAATCTGAATTTTTTCGCCAGAATCTGCAAACAGAATTAAGGTTATCGAAGTCCGCATCACCTCTTTCCAACCAAATGCTGCAGTCATCAGAGTTTCAGTTCCAATTTGTTTGAAGTTCATATTTTGTGCTAGTTCTTCTGTAATGATTGACCTCTGAGATCCCTTATAAAATATTAAGATAGTTGTGTCCATGACTATTTCTCCGTTTGTAACTTTGGCTGTCGCTGCTTTAAATATAATAATTATTGGAATATTTGTCATTGGAGATGTATGCAGAGTTGTCGAAGAAGGATTAACATGCTCGTTCTTTATTGATGACTGGATCTTTTTAGATGTGATATAAAGTGTTGATTCATGTGTAGCCAGGAATGTATACTGCACATTACATGTCACACCTGTCAAATAAGTTAATTGTTATGATTTCTTGAAGAAGGGGTGCTCAATGGACAGTTTTAGGGCCTCTGTTGAATGAGGCGTCATTTCTATATTTTTGAGGTATTTTTGGTATAAAAAAAAATTCTTGATATCAATTATTCGAATTCTTTTTTTTTT